TATTGAATAGTTTATATATAAATTTTAATGCAATTACATGTTTAAATAAACAAGTTGAAATTAATACCGTTTCGCCTGTAGCGTGTTTGATTTTATTTTATTTAAAATATCTGTTATACCTATAATTTTTCCTCAAAAATTGTGATGACTAAAAAAGATGGCGTTCATTTTTACCAGAATTACGACTATACAAAGTGTTGCTTTGCAACCAATGATTAGCCGGACTCAAAATTGAATAAGAAGTTACAACTTTCACATGAATATGAACCGTGCATTTGCCGGCAAGTTTGAATATTCGTTGAACGTGAGAAAAGTCTTTAAAACAAATACTCAAGTACTTGTTAAAATCTGCGGACTTTCCCAAAGTTGTTTATATTACCAAAACTTGGTTCACCAAAAGTGAATTAAATTTAATAACACTTATTTCATATGCTTTGATTTATTAATTATTTATTTATATTTAATTATTTACATAGAGCAAGTTAAAGACAGGGTCATTCTTTAATGTGGCAGTTTTAATTAAATTTATATAGTTTTTGTTCTTGACTAATTTAAAATGTTTAAATTTGTTAGTATCTTGTGAGTATTCATTGACAATATAACAAAATGTTAGCGTTGCGAAATGCTGGACACTTGCCAGGCTTTTATTCCGGCAAAAAGATCTCATCAGAAAAACTATGTCTTTTTTAACTTTTCTCTTTAACAATTTATATAATAAAACCAAACTGTTGTGGTTCAAGAAAACGATTAAACAAACAAGACTGATTTTTATCAGGATTATATACATTTTTCTAATTGAGTTCTGACAGCTAAATCAGAACGTACGAAACGAAAGTTGAATAACTCGTAAACTTACCACGTCATATCATTTCAAGTGGATTACTACTAGCTAAGATCAATATCTAATATATTGTAAGTAAAAGACTTATTTAGAAAATAACCAAGATTACTGGTTTCTAAATCACTTGATGATAGACAATTTCTACTTCTGTTAAAATATTTTTGTTATTTTAATATAAGAAACATAAAATTTTATTAATTATGCAGAAAGTAACTTAACATGAAATAACGAGAAATACTATTTTACCAGAGTTTCACACAACACAATACATTAACTATTTAAGCTTAAAAATTAAATTTCTGGAAATGCTAATGGTTTTTGCTGAGATATACAACTCGTATTGATTATATTCCAACACTGCAGTACGTTTTAAATAACGAAATTTTCAATTTAAAAAAATATTTCGCTAGAGTACAGACACAATTTTGTTGTTAACAAAAAATTATTATTATTTAAAATAGAAAAATACTTTATGATTTGCACAAAATTCAGCTTTTTAGATAATTATCTCTTGGTTAGCTGAACTAACACAAGAATATATTGTATATTTTTTTGTTACGTTGTTTTATATTTATTAGTTACATTGTTTTAGATATGTATAAAATATCAAGAACATTTAATTAAACAGATGCATTACCATTTTTTTTTATTTAAATCACAAACAAATAATGCTTATAAAAATGAATTCATTTTGTATCTTCTGAAATTGGTTTTCGTCAAACTGACTAAATATTATTACTAAAGAAAATATCTCTATAAGCATTAAAATTTACGTTTACTCAAAATATGAAGTTTATATGATCCATAAAATCAGCAAGTTTTAGCTGCAGGAACTACCTTTTAGTAGAAGCTCCGAAATGAAATTGGATGAGTCTTATGATTTCGAAGTGTCTTCTAAATTGCACTTTATGAGCATTTAATGCTTTCATTTCAATATTTATTAGGAACACTAATTAAGTGACGTATTTTTTTAGCATTAATGAGTTGATGGCGTTATGATTTATTGAATCGGGCAATGAAAAAGCAAATCTTGTAAATTTAATCGGTGGAATTGACGTCTACCGGTAATAAAATATGGCGTCAAAGAAAAAATGAGAAGACTAGGAAGTCTATCGACATCCGGCGTGAAAATCTCGATGAAAGAAAACTCGGTAAAATAGCAGCTGATGAACTTCTCTACTTTAAAGCGTTAATTTGATAGACGTGAGTTTATTAAAACACGGTATACGTCTGCGAAGGTAAAAAGTAATACACAGCAAATGGGAGCCCTAACGGCCCAACCTTTTCCGTTGTTGACTAAACGGGGTCCCAATCCTGATGGCACGGTCGAGTGGGAACGTGAACACGTTATGACGTTGACGTGGAATAATCGATTCAGGCGAAACCCTATGCAGATTATTCCGACCGCATTATAATTAATCAACAGCAACGATAACTTCGTGTGTAATACATTAACACCGGTCCGCAAGACCACTGCGATACTATTTTCCATTAATTATTAATACTCCATATATAGCGAATACCAACAATTAGCTGATGCAAAAGTGCTCCGTTTCGATTAAATTGCACTCACTCATAAATAATTCATAAAAAGTGGAAATCGCTCTCAAAACCAGTGATTACCTCGCCACATTGATTCGCTGACACCGGACAACAGAAAAGATCCCAAATGTCCGCCCAAAACGGTCTTATTATAAAATTAGACCCTACTTACTAATGGACACATCCTGATCTCGCCAAGTAGCGTTTTACTGCGATCGCTTATCACCAGGATTTGAGAAGTAACCCGACAATCAGGAACTTCCACGCGCAGCCATGTCATTAAATGATTGTTGTTTCTTTTTCACACAATTTTTAGCTTCAAACAAAACACGAGAAGCCGACACATTAGCATACAATGTGTTTAATATTTTTCTTTTTGTTTAACCTGTTATATTGCAACAATAAAAATACAAGTCTATCGCATCGAATTGAAAAATAAACCGATGTTGATTTTAACGGGCAAATTAAACTTGTCACAAGTGTTTGTGTTTACTTTTGGTTTGGGTTTGTTCCAATAATTTTAATGTTGCGAATGATGATAGGTAGATGCGATATTTTTCAACGACACGAAACTCGACACCAGCAGACTCTTAAAAGAACATTCGAATTTTAAATAATGACAAAAATAATACCGAAACGTACATTATAGTGACATTCTCTTTGTTTGCAGTGGAGTACTGGATATTTTTATTGGTCCGTACGTTCACTATAATAATAACGCAAAACATTGTAAGTAATTAATACTTAAAATAAAATCTTGTTAAATATGTGACCACTTGTATTTTTTTATTTTTTTTTGTCTGGCCTAGAAAAGTATTTCAACCAATTTTGCAAAACTATCTATTGATATTGTCTTCTATCATAATTTTGCTACAATGTGCTAAATACACTATAAGGGATATACTAATTTTAGTGAATTCGTACAACAAGATTTTAGTTGTATTTTATTCATGTCGAGTAAAAAAGTAAAGTGAGTCGTTTACTGGAATGAATTTATCTTTTTTGTATGAATTGTTGCTAATAACAGAGTGGAATTGGTATTTAAAGGAATGTAAGGATACAGTTAGTAGTTATTGTTACGATTGCTATTATCGTTTCCATTACTGTTATTATTATGATAATGTCATAAACAGAAAAATTAAAAAATTTAACTTTTGATTTTAAGAAGCCAACATTTATAATTCGTACTTCTATCTCATCTCTTTAAATAAAAGGCTTTTATTGGTAAAAAAATTGGAACATTTCGCCATTATGTCTTTATGAGATCTGAATTTGTGCAAAACTTTTCTAATTTAATTTTCTCTCTATGACAAACTATTACACTGTACATTAATTTTCGTTCCAGTTGACATTTAATCAATCTAGAACACACGAGTTTTTATGGGCTATATAAGGTAGATTTTTTGGTAAATTTGGTAAAGGTACACAAATTATATGGAATTTTGTTGAAAACAGGTGCTCCAACATGTTTTTTTTTATCAACAAACAGAGTTATAAGCACTCTCAACAGCACACGCTGTTTGGGAAACCATTAAGCTAAAATATGAACAACAACGTATCAAAACAAAGTTCAACAGGGTTGTCTCCCTAATAAGCTTATCTAGAACTATTAACAAATCACAGCACACGCACACACGTTACGGCAAAAGGCCAGTCAAGTTTTGTCAAGTTGCCGGAAAAAGCGAATAAATTTCCCTGTGACTTATTGTTATTCTTAAAAAGGACGTCAACACTAATAAAAAGAAAAACCGGCAATAAAAAAGACGCTGTCCATTTTTGTGTATGTTCTCTGATCGGGGGCACAATGGCAAGTCTATACTTAATACCGGATCATAACGGTAATTGTATGCAATTCCATAGATAAGAGACAATAAGTGTGTTGATTCAGTTTCGGTAAATTGGTTGATCATCCAAAAGGGAAATTGTTGATTCGTCGGGAATGACATGTGCGTATGGTAAGGGAATATCTAAACATATGTCGAGACGACAACCATCTTATTTGGCTGATTGCCGTGGAACAGTTCAAGAAATTGCCGGGGGAGCAGCAATGTCGTAACTCCCCCACCTTTATCGGAAGCGTGTAATCTGAGAACATTTCTCCAAACCGCAACGGTACGGTTTTGCAACAAGTATGGTGTTCCAGATAGAATTAAATCGCGCTACCTATTTGTGAATGTCGTTCCTTTAGACGTTTCATTTGCGCTTATGGCCGCTTTTGTCTAGATTAAATGACATTTCTATAATAAGAAATGGACCCCATCGGAAACAAGTGCCGAAGTAATTGTTTCTTTCCGATGCAGCCTCGCCTTAATAACCCCAACAACTGCCGCTCGACGCCTCGCGCCCACTTGCCACTCGATCAACCTAAAGAGATTACAAACACTTAGATAATTATTATTGCCTTTACTGCGTTTTTTCCCTTTCGCACACTCATTATCTTTTTAACAGCGCATTTATTAAAAAAACGTGTTTTATCTACCGAAAAATTTTGCACTTCTTCAAACTCAGCCGTGTTGTCATTACATTTCTGCTTTGTTTATCTTTCTAGATTTGCTTATTTGCTCGAACAGTACGGCCGCTGTTTCCACTCTCTTTAATATCATTTTGTTGGTTCTAGGAGGCTGAAAGCGCTATCAACGCTATGAACGGACAATGGTTAGGCAGTCGAAGCATTCGCACCAACTGGGCGACAAGAAAGCCGCCTGCACCCAAATCTGAAGGTAGGCAACCTTTAAACTTGAGGCTAATTGCTAATTTCTACTGCCTCTTTTAAATTACTAGCAAACTAATCAATGATCCGAACACATAAACTTTTTTATCTTTTATTTACACCAGCTTTGCGAGGCTGCTAGTTTTATGCTCAACTCCGAGATTTCACGAACAATTAACAACTTTACTACCACTAGACTTGGTTATTAATGTTACGGATCCGCATGAACAACCGTCAATTGTAAAGACGTAAACTGCATTTACATTATATTACGAGTATTTACAATTTTTCGCAAATTTATTTTTGTAAAAAATATATTAATGATATGTTTATTATTAACTATACTAAATGAAACATCAAAAACCAAACATTCATTTTGTATTTGCTTTTATAAACACTCTACATGGAAGTGTCTATATATTTTTATTACTGTAAATATGTATATATATATTTCAAATGATTTATTTTATTAATACATCAAAAATATACTACAACATCAATAACTTTTTTAATTATTTTATAAAAATAATCTACCTATTGCCACAAAAGTTTATTTATTTTTACTGTGTTATTTCCAAACTATTCAAATGTAAAAACACTGTTAATTAAATATGTAGATGCACATTTATTTCAAATTTAATTTTTCATTTTTAATATTGTAAATTTAGTTTAAATGACGTGTTACTTACTATTTATTCTTGTTGTACAAAAATTGAGAACAGTGATATCTGTAGCGTAATATTTTATTTCAAAAAGAAATCAACCGTAACAAGTTTTCTTTGATGTAAATCGTATCTTGCTACTAAAAGGAAGATTCACGTAGCGCCATCTCAATGCTAGATCTTGAACGTGTAGTTATATGAAACCTGTTCAAGGATTTTTTTACAAAGATTCTTTAAGATTACTTTGAAAATTTTCCAAATTTTTCTATATTTCAAATTGTAGGAATATCATGCAATGGCTCGGTTTTAGTATACGATAAGTTAATTTACTCCTCAACATGTATACGAGTAAATCAAAATTTTTGTGGGTAAAACGTCGAATTATGTCAGGGTTGATATTAGCATAAAAATAAAAAAACATGTTCAAAAATTTCAATATGTATAATTTTCCGGTTTCTTATCCGGAGTGAAAATGACCAACATTTGTATTTAGCATTTATTTTAAAACAAAAAAGTGACTCACTAGTCACGCATACAAAAATAACCATTGATTTTCCTAAGCACACCTGTCCAAGTCTACACCCGTTATAATTAATGCATGAAATACAAACACAGTGCAATATTTTTTATTATAATTTTGCACATTGCGAAGAAGACAAATATTACAGAAAATATCGTTGTAATATTTTAATGAATAAATCTGAATACAAAATTCTATAATAGCTAGGAATTTATTGCCGACTATCCCAGGTGCGTTCGTGTTTTTACATTTCTAATACAAAAATGAATCGACTAAATCCAACTTTAAGCGAAGTTAATAAGTTTTAAGCATTGCTACGGTGATAAACGACATGTTTGTTAACACGAGCTTTTAGACAAAAAGGCGCTCTTGTCTTGCTCTATGTTAATTCGAAAAGTCGTTACAGTTGTAGTTAACGCATTAAAAAAAGTCATTAACTGAGAGTTTAAGTGACTTAGAAAATCTTAGTAGCGACGGTTATAACAGGTGTGTGTATATTGTTTTATAGAATTGGATCGGTATTAAAATTTGATGAAAGTGTCAAATTGATATAGAACATGACAATTGAGAGAAGGGTGTAAGACGCGGGACGTCCAAAGTTAAGGTTATTTCTCTTGTGGAATAGAATTTTGAATTTTGTTAGAAGCTAATAAAAATAAATAGGAAGTGCGGAATCTGCAGCGCGGTAAAAGCATGGAAGCACCTTCCGTCATTTCGGCGTGGCAATAAAAGGCGATGGAAGATCAGCAAGAGTGCATCGGATATTTGTGTTTCAAATTGTCAAATTGAATGCGCATTCGGATATATAGCCAAGCTTACCTATGTTAGAGATGTTCTATTTCCATATTTTAACAAGAGCACCGCCGTCCATATTTTCTTTGTTTGGGTTTGATGGCTTCTGAAATTACAGCTTGCGCCTTTGGTAAAATAAACAAAAACTAATTCGGTATGATACCCTATGCGCAACTCCAAAAGTAAGGAGCGTATTTGGAGCTTCAATTATAGCGGAAGGGCTTTTGTTTTACTCGACGTGTTGGGTGTTATTTTGTCGCGTAACAATATTTATTTAGAATGTAATAATACTTGGAGCGAGAAAGGAGACTTATTTGTATTCAAATGGTAAAAAACATTAAAGTTTGTTGTTTTCTTCAAATGTATTTTTATAAATCCGGGATAAACAGTGCACAAAGTAAAATAAAACGCTAAGTTTGATTTTAAAATAAAACCGTCCAAGCTATTTTACGTACAAACCTATATACCACACATCAAATCAGAAGTTTCTTTATTCTCTCGAGCGCATATGTGAATATGTAATGGAAAGAGCGGTCGCGCTTTCGCCCCCCGCAGGTATATAACTCCTGACAGTCCCAGAATCGCTCCTTGATTGGGTCACCGCCCAAACTTCCAACTGCCGCACTACCTCTCCGTTGGGACGCCAAATTCCGCATCTTGACCGTCTCCTCTCACCCTTTCCGCAAGCACGCTTATCAAGCGCATAATCTTCAAGCCAACAAGTTGTCACTTTACTGTCAAACTGAGTTAATGGCGTCAGCCATCCGGTCTTCGGGTCTTCCCAATAGCCCCTTGTCCCACAGGTGACACCAGATTAGGAACACGCCGTACCGGACCTTCCACCGTTCAAAGACAACCCCTCTTTGCTCTGACCGGTTCAAATCATTTCACAACTTTTTCTATCTAACTTCAACATGCCTCTTTCCCTTCACATTCTTTTCCTCACCTTCTTATTTATTTAAATGGGAACCGAATTCTAACCGCTACGTAATCACTACCACCCACGTCGATTCGAAATATTACGTTAACCCAACTTTATTCTTTTCCTTACGTCTCGATACTCCTACGCCGATCTGCACACACCCTATCTCATAATCCACACATGAATCGTTTCATCCTTCACATTTTCCTTCCTCTTCTTCCATTTTTGTCACACACTCACTCCTACCTGTTACAAATCTCCCATATAAAAAAAGAATATGGCATAAAGCATAAAATAACTTGACAATCAACAACAGCAAACACGAGAAACAGTATGCACTTATTAAGCGAATTTTAGCGAAGAGGAAAAAAATAAATGTTGTTGATGGAATATCAAAAACGTTAATACAAACATTCAGTGTGTCCTCGGATAGGTGAAACGACTCTTGTAAAATAGATTTTTTGAGGTTCAGCCCTGCTTTGATAAATATTTCTAACATAATTTTAGTTTTGAAAAATAAAGTGTGCCTTACAAATTTTTAAAAGAATGTTTTCTTTTGTGCTTTTTATGTGGCAAATACGACAAAAAGTTATTAAAAAAGGTTGTTTAGAATCAACATTTAGGTCCCTATACCAAATTTCAAAATCATAGGTCAACTATGATTGTTCATATAATTGCTTTTTATTAACAGAAACGTCAAAAATTTATTTAGTACTAATAATCTAAATGAATTTTTTGCTTCATAATAAAAGAACTGTTAAAAATAAAATTATTTTATTTGTGAATTAATAAACATAACAAAATGAAAAATCGTTGTTGGCCGATGATTTTGAAATTTGGTATCGGGCCTAGATGTTGATTCTAAATAACTTTACTCAATAACTTTTTGTCGTATTTACCACATAAAAGGCACTTTGTTTAATAGAAAAAAGCACGTCACAGAAAAAACAAAAAAAGATTTTTTGAGAATTTCCAAAGTTACTTGATTTTTTAAAACTAAAATTATGTTAGAAATTAATCTTTTACTAAGCAAGACTGAACCTCTAAAAATGAAAATTTAAATCGAGATTTTTTGATCATTTACAAAAGCCGTTTCACCCATCCGGGGACACACTGTATATGCCTACATCGGCCACTGACAGTAAGAAGAAAAAACAACACTATAGTTTTTCAATAAAATCACTAGCTTCTTGAGTTTTCAAATTAAAATATATATAAAAAAAACATACGTTTAAAATTCTTGTACAAAGCAATTTGAAAATACTCATCTAAACCAACAAATCGAATGTAGTTTTTTGCAAAGCAAAAATTTATGTTGTCTTCTTTAACAGCCGTTCGTTTTTTAAAGCATTTACAATCTTCGGTATTTTTATCGTTTATACTAGTTCAAAAAAATTTCTTCACAAGCCTATAAATCACAAATATGATCAAAAACATTCTCGATGTCAGCGCGAATAATAGCTTGCATAATTAACGAAAGCAACATATGTCGTAAAAAACAATTTACTGCTTTTTTTAAATCAAGATGACAATAATATAATTTTTAGACTCTAGATATACAATTTTTTATTTTCAATTCTAAGAATCGAACAAAATTTATATCGATGGAAGTTGCAAGCACTCACAAAAAAATTCATGAAAAACAAAAATTGTCGATTTGAATAAGAGATTAGGCACCCTAATTAAACATGTATATTTGTATCACCCTTGTACGTAGCATGCATATTCTAAGAATTCGTAATGTTTTGCTTCTATAAAAAGTTATTTTGCACATGGCAAACATGCAACATGGGGGGGGGCTCACAATCATCTATTATGAGAATCTCTTCACTTCTTCCAATTCTGAGTCACAATACGATACACTAAATTATGCACAATTGGTATTCTAGCGAAGTTGGAGTACAAAACGAGCTGTCAAGTAAATCTTATTTATAGTCACGATACTGTACCTATAACGCGCTCCAGATTTGATTACCGGCGCTAAATGGCCGTTCGTGCCGATGCCGATCGCGAATGCGTATACGTGAAGCAACTACTAGCCAACTAACGTCTACCGAACCTCAAATTTCACCTTTTTACCCTGACGCCCACCTAATCTTTTCCATTGGGTAAGGTCGTCGAACTAAATTCCGAATTCATAGTTCCAACACACTGTTGATCCTCACGGATGCCTATTTCCGATTTGAATAATTTAACGCGCCAACGGAGAGTTTTTCGTGCTGCAGCTTTGATTGGGTTGTATCGCTGGTAATCGAATGTTCCGGTGACAATACTACGACAATTACTTAATGAAACAATCGATTATTCGAAAAACGGCAAGACATTATCCTTGAACGCCATCGATTAATAGATATACTCCATCTGTCGCAACTTTCGAAAGTTTCTAAAGAGAATTGTTGCTATTTTACCTATCAAAAGCCTTATCATGTGAGTGTGAAACGGTTCATCGCAGTACTTTATTGAAATCAGAACAGACAGAAAAGTAGTAACCGTGGAAATAGAGGCGGTGTCGGTGGTCGCCGGTCCGCAGTGGGCACCCGCAGCATGTGCGTGTTTGGTCCTTCGTCGCTGTCACGAGAAACCAACACGCGACTAAATGTTCATTTGGAATCGTAATCGCACTGCAAAACAGTCGTTAAAGAGAGATGTACTCAGCTCGATCTTATTTATTTGAGACTGTCCTGGTGGAGTTTTAATGGCCCGTCGTAACTTACAGATATCGTTTTATAAGGTCATTTGACGCAATAGGTACTACCATTCCTCTTCTGTTGTAAATATATAAAGTTGGATAAAGCCGAGCGTGATTTAGAATTGGTACTTTAATGCGACCCCTATCGCTCGTTTCGATTAACGCACCTCTTTATGGGCCGTCTGGAGCGTTTCCTATGAGCACACAACCCCTGAATCCCTGATGCTTCACTTTATTCGATACAAAAATTACAATTATCTCATCTCTTTTGTTCGAATTAAATCTTCCGTTGTTGTTCATTTCAGATACTTACGCAACGGCAAACCAGTAAGTGGTTTTGGATTTCGATCACAAAAATTTCGTATATTTACTGCCATAGAATACAAATGAATGTACAATTTAGCTTTAATCTTAGATTTTTCTAATATTTTCTATAAAAAAGATAGCTAACTTTTCAATTTTTTTTAAAACTGTCTAACTTATTGACTAGTTCAATACTTATGCAACCGTAAAGAAGCAAATAAAAATATGATAAATTTGGACTGTAACTGAAACTGTAGAACCAATTAAAAACTTATAATTGTAAACACTTACTTACCTATAAAGAGGGTAAACCATAAAAGAGTGATAAAAAACAACCGTGTTTTATGTACCTATAATACATTGTCTAACATTTTATGTTGATCACTTAATGTCTACAGTACAGGGTGAGTTGCGTTTCACGTGAAATAATAAAAAATAACATTTTTTAGTTCCTACGTTTTTAATACAATTTTTTGGCTTTAATTTAACTCGCCCTCTTCACTCACTTTTTCGATCGGAAAGTCAATTTATTAAAGCATATAAAAATTGAAAAGTCAGCTAAATTATTTAAACTCATATTTTTACATATTTTTTACATTTTGGACTATGAATAGGTAGACGATTAAGTATTTTTAAAATTATATTTAAAAACCTTTCACAAGCCTATTTAATGGTCGTAACTTCTACATATACAGGGTGTTTATGTGTTGCTATAATTTTCTTCTACTGATATTGCAGTAACTAAACACCCCTTATGTTTACAAGTAATGTAGATGCATGGTATTCTTTTTATAGTCTTATATAATAATTTAATAAAGCGATTTAGCAAAAATAATGACTTTAAATCGCAATTTTTCCAATATTTATATAAAAATGAAAAATGTTTTTAAATTGGCATGGAAAGTGTTTTTTCTAAATTTTCTTTTTGTCAATATTTGAGAGGCACGAGTTCCGTTTGCTATTTTGTTGACTCACTTATGTATTGAAACATGCCGTGTCCTTTATTTATTTTGATTTATTGAGGATTTTCTAAACCGTAATTCTAAAGGTGATTCGTTTTTCAGCAAATTCAAAACCGATGTCGTTTGATGAGATTTACAACCAAAGCAGTGCTACCAATTGCACGGTGTATTGCGGTGGCATTACAAACGGCTTGTGTGAAGATTTATTGCAGAAGACGTTTCTTCCGTACGGAATAATCCAAGAAATCCGCGTGTTTAAAGAAAAAGGTTACGCGTTTATTCGGTGAGTGTAATCACATCCGAAAGTTTTTATCCGATGCGCAAATTACGGACTAGACTATTAACAAGCAAAATTATTTTCAGTTTTTCGACCAAAGAATCAGCCACCCACGCAATCGTCGGAGTTCATAACTCTGAAATCGGTGGTCAGACGGTTAAATGTTCATGGGGGAAAGAATCGGGCGACCCGAACAATGCCCCCGCTGCAAGCCAAGCTCTCACTAGTACCCAGTACCCTTACGGTGCTTATGGACAACAATTGGGCTATTGGTACCCGCAGAGCTTCCCTACAGCAGCTGCAGCACAGATGCAAGGACAATTTCTACAGGGGATGCAGGGCTACACGTATGGACAGTTTGCAGGCTACCAACAGTCGTACATGGGGTAGGGAAATTCCGATAACACAATTAGTAATTAGTATCTTAATTAAAATTTTCTCTTATTATCGTTATTTTTTTTATAATTGTTTGACAGAATGGGCATGCAAGTCCCGGCTACTTGGCAAGGGATTCCTGGACAACCCCAGCTACCCGCTCAGCAAATGGCAGCTCCTAGCGCCGCTCTACAACAGCCCGGTTTGGTGTTTCCCATTCAACAGTACCAAGTAAATATTTTAGTGCATGGAGTTAAGTGACGTGCATGGCATGGCGTGAATGAATTAGTGCGCGAGTGTGATAGGAAGCATGATTAGTAGAAATGTGGACCACTGTACGTACCCAAAATGATCTTGTTGCGCCATTGCCGACTCCTATTTCGACGATAAAATATCGGTTGTTGAAGTTATTGATAGGAGGAAAGGGAGATGGAAATGGATGCTTTAGATATTGTCATGCACATGAGATGTTGCACTTTGGTCAAGGCAAATGTTTCATTCGCTAGTTTTCCCTTTATTAATTAGATGCATTATTCACGTGCCACATGCCACATGCCGCCTATAGTCCCTCAGATGTTGAGTGTGTTTGTCTTTAAGTATTTGATACTTGTGATTTTTCGGTTTAGCAACGTGAGCATAAGCATTGGGTCCGAGTCCGAGCATGAGGCTCGGTACCGACTTGATGTCGTACTCGTAGGTATGTTTGGTACTTTCGAGAGACGTGTCGGCCGACAATTGATGAAATGCCGGCAGCCGCGTCGCCGTTTGGCGCGTTTTCTAAATAGCGTTTTCTTTCTTTCAGGCTCAATGAAACACACACAATAGCCACCAACTCGACATAGTGATATTTTAATACAATTTAAGATATCGTACCGTAGTTAATCGCGAATTTGCAATTATTCGTGCCAAATTTCAACTTAGTCACACAGAATCGAACTTGGAGTCCAAATGTCCATCCATTTTGATTAGAGCTGAGGAGGACTAAGGCTGCAGAGTTAGTGACTGATGGCTTAGGTGGTTTGGTTGTAATGAATGGTGAGAGGATGTGGACCTGCGTCCTGCGACCCTGCACTGTCAGCTGCCGCCTAGGCTAGCGCCTAACTCACACTCCACTCCACTCCACTCCCGCCCCGTTAGATTCACTGGTTTCTGGTTTTTTTTGCATGAGTGCGTGTCCGTGGCCAAAGTCGGGCGGCAAGACCGTGTGTGTCCTGCTGATGTGACGTCTATTTGGCAGTTGGCGGAGGAGGATTGGCTTACTCCCAGCCTCCTAGTCTGATGGTAATACGCACCGTCGAGGCTATAAGCGGGTACGGAAGCGACCAACAACCAAAATGAAGAGTGAAGACGCTTTCACTCTCGCTCTCTTGGGTTGGTCGCCCGTTAGTCGTCAGTCGTCAGCCGTCAGCCGTCAGCCGTCAGCTCTTCAGTCCTTCAATCGGCTCTCCACTCCCGTCGCCGTCTGTTGCCCGCTTCCTTATCGAACAATCATTTACAGTACAGTTTCTACTTTAGTTAATATTTACTCTTGCAGTAGTGTTATCATACATGTTGAACATGTTTAGATTATAAGAGTTTATATTTGTAAAGAATTGCCAGGAGGCTTTTGTTTTCAGTTTGACCTGTACAAACACAAGTAGGTAAGTTAAGATAGCTAAGAAATAGATAGATAACTAAATAAGTAGACATTTAGATAGGTGAATAGGTAGTTATTTAATCGAGAATGACACGGAGTGACGGCAGCTGCAATTGTACACAACGAGCGCGAGCACCACGGTGTAGAACTAGTAGCGGTAGCTTTAGAGGCAAGCTGACGACGTCATAGCTGCCCAACATATACATACTGTATATTACTGTACATACAGAGAGTTATCGCAACCATGCAGACATGTGATGTCAGTAGGATTAGAAAGTACTAAGTCGGGCTCAGCACTCCGCGCTACGCGAGCTGACACTCGTCACCGTGCTTAAGTATTACGTATATACTATACCCAAACGTTAACAGAGCGCGAGCGCGATACCAATACACATAGCCTAACGTGATATCGCAAAATCCGACGTTTTATATAATATATAATGTGAATGAAGGAAAGTTTTGATACAAGATTTAACAAGTATAACGCAGATTAAACGTAGAACATAGAACGACGAGTATTATTTAGCATTTATATATAAATAGCTATATGTTCGTTAATGACAGTATAAAACTTGCACGCTAAACTGTAGGAGCACCTCATATTTAACGGCTGTATTAGTGTCTAAGTGTAAAGGAACCACTCGCCCAGTGCCCAGCACTTGCCCATTGCCCCGCAACTCGTGTGGTTGTTAAACCCCGGCACTCGTGCAACTGTTTGAAACTCGCACGTCCTTTAGGTTGACGACTCTTTGGTCTTAGAATCAGTCAATTAAGAAGCGTTTCTAAACGCAAAACTTTCCAAACCGAGAGAGTCGTCATCTATTTGAACCAAAAACCTGACCTAGGCGGCTAATGGAACACAACCATCCGACACATTTTGGTACTATGAACCTCTTCAATGCTAAACCGACCGGGCACGAACCATTCTCGAATTTCGCCAACAATATCATATTCTGTGATAGTCCCGAAAATGTCACTTGACAGCCGACGGGGATAATTGTGAGTCCTTCTGTGTCCTCTAGGTTTTGGTTTAATTTCAGCTAACGCGAACTACCCATTTCATACTTTTACTACGCAAGTACATATCAAACTTGACTTGATTCTGACATTGTTGTTGTATTTTTTCGTATACAACATACATCATGTTTGCTCTATTGTTTCAAACATTGACTAATACCTGTTACCTTGCTTGTACTGATACTCACGTTAGCTGCCCAAGGACGTGCTTATTTCTTTAATTGTGAAATGTTACCAGATAACTGTCAATAATAAAATTAAGTTCAAATCGCACCGGGTAGTGTTATCTTTATAGATATTTATTTTTATTAAATAATTTGTTGAACTCTTTTTGTTAATTTGTTTTGTAAAGATATTAAATATTTTGTTGTACAAAAAACAAACATCGATAATGTTATTTATTTTCCACAGATAACGCATCAAAATGGGCCAAATATTATTTTTAAAATGATTTTTAAGATGGCGTTATTAGAGGAAAACTAAATTAAAAATAATAATAAGAAAATAAACAACTTAGGTTTGTGTATGTGATCTCAGTTTAGTTAATAGGTTTATTTTACACATATATATAAAGGGACAAAATCAAAAGATTTACGTTTAGTTATTTAGGAATCGGGAGTACAAAGCCCAAGAGTGATTATTGTAAAGATTAGCTAGATCAAATGGTACTTTGTACTTTTGATACCTATAGTATTTATTTCTGTAAAGAGTTTTATATCACTGGCTGCTACGCATGAAATGTATGCGTGCTTCAACACGCCAAAATATTATTAACAAAACAAAACAAACCTAGATTATTATAAAGTAGAAGATGGAATTGAAATAAAGACAGTTACAAGATGCTTTGTGGTTATTCATTTATCCCCATCACTTTATACAATAAACAAAATCTATTTACATTAAAAACACAAAAAGCTAATAAGATTAAGTGATCAGGTAAGTTGATTTATTTTACAAAAAAAAATATTTGTTATAAATTTCTCGTCTAAAAACAAAACAACATTTTTCAAAATGACCCTTCGTTTTTTATGTGACATTCACAAAAATATACGTTTCAACACAGCAAATGTGTTTCGTTATTTTGGTGGCTACATAATGAACTAGCAAAAGCTCTTTAAGAGGGTGTAACACACTAGGGAATACCCGCTCTTTGCTCATTCCACTGTCATAATAATTATGTACATACTTTTATACTTATACAACGTTGCTATTATATCTTACTTGCATTAACACAACAGTACTTTGTAATTTACATATTATATCTCATTATAGGCGCGATGACGTCGGAGCGCCGGGTAAATACTGTTCTAGATTCTACCCCACAAAAAAGCTATACTTCTCTTACAATACATTTTTATAAAAAAATCTAGCCTCTAGGAAAGTGGAAATTAATAATTTTATAACAACGTTTTCCTAGCGAATAGACCATATTTGGCCTTTGGCGTTTTGTAAAAAGTTGGACATTGAAAGCTTGTTCGCAGTTTGTGATTAAATAAAAAGGAAATATTTTCGATAAGTAATTTAATGCACTTTTCCGCGTTTCGAGAAATTTACTAAATGAACGGATTTGTTCTCAATGAGAAGAAAGAGAAGACTCGTCTCCCTATCGCAATTACTGAACTAATATATCTAGTTGCTTTACGAAATCAGATTTTTGTTTTAAGCAAGGGATTTTGAGACAACAACTCAAATAGATTCTAACTACCAAATGCATGTATCTCTATGACTATTAATTCGTGATATTCGAAATTAACGGACTAACTTGTCTACAATAGCCGGTCTAGCTATAACATATTACACCGATGGAACATATATCTCAATTCAGTTCAAGTGTCAGCTTCTAATATATTGAACAATGCATATCATTTTGGGCCATTTTCACTAAATTAATTGCGTCATACATACTCAACTTACTCAACAATCGTACATGGCTATTTATAGCGTTATTAAATTTGTGATAACTGGTCCAATTTGCTCACGCACACTCACCTAATTGCCAGTCTAAGCTTTAAAATATGAAAAGCCGATGAAACTAGCAACCGGTTACAGTCGCGTTCAACCAAATCAGCCACATTATGCATACATACATTCAAATAAAATATGACAAGCACGAGCACCGCCCCTGAATTACTCTAAAACATTACCCTAACCGTAGGCTTCACTCTCACGCCTTTCCTGCATGTAACATACAGTGTTCCACCCAAATGTACAACCGTTCGACATTATTTAAAATAATAAAATTTATTTTTTAACTCAACGCCTTCGAAACAACGTTTGACGTACGTAATTGACAAACGGAAATTCGTCATTCTCAGCGTAGTAGGTATACCGGAAATTTTTGCAAAAAGCATTGCAAAAGGCATTTTGCGAGAAAATTTTCCCACACATTTGATATACTATACAGGGGTGCGCCAGAACTCGCGCCCTAGAGAAAAATTTCAAGTAAGATAAGATACCAGGAACATAGAAAAAATGTTTAAAAATTTTTCTCTGTCAATTTGACATTTTTTATGTCTATTTAATGATACTGATGATCTTGAATATGTTTTTATTTTATAATTATTTAGTGAAGGTACAAAAATTTTGCCAATAAAAGCCAGAAATAACATTTAACAGAGTTACAATTGAGGATACAGCTTCCTTGTTTCCTCTTTTTTCCTGTAGCAAAAAACTTGGAAAATTATTTTTCCAACAGAAATAAATAGAGTCAAAGTGCAAAATTTAAACTCTCATAACTTCGAAATTTTTATAGATAAGTTTTTACATTTTATGGGTATCATCACATTGCATTTTTCTCTAGGGCGCGAATTCTGGTGTATATACTAATAGCACAAATTATAAAAATTATGTTTACGCATGTTGCTCCCCCATCTATAAAATTATGTGATTAAAATAAGGGTACTTAATTTTTTAATCACAAAAGAGAAATAATAAAAGTTACAATAAGCAAAATTTTCTATCAATCTCGAATACCGAGCAGTAATAAAGAAAACACACGACTAACAGACTTAAAAAATCAAATATCCTTAAATAAATAGCAAAGTTTGAGAGACCAATTTCTTGATTTTTTTGTATTACTCTAAAAATCACAAGCCTTCACTTCCTATAATAAAATGTATCGTTTGAACAAAATTTATTCTTTTCAAAGAATACCTAAGTTAAATATTTGATGTGTAAAATTTGTTCTGTTATCTCGTCCATACTTGAACCATCAGCTTTCAACTACGAAAGCTTTCATGTACATATATATGCTTTATTATGTAATAACTTTGGAGCAACTATAGATGTAAAAAGCACGAAGGTAAAGACAAAGGTAAAAGAGCAACATAGAAACACAAAGTTTTTGGAGGAGTGTATCAATATAATGAAAAAGCATTGCGAGTGATAATAATTAATACAAAGTTCTTTTCTTGAAGATGATTTGTATCCTATTTTCGTTACGCATTCAGGAAACATAACTAATGTGCAAAATTTGCTATAAACAATAGGGTTGAAGGTTGGTGATGTCTGTATAGATTCCCACGGGATTCCCACGAATAAAATTCTTTGCCTGAGGCACTCTCAATTAGTATCCATGTTTATTTGGAAGGGAATATTGGGACATGTGTAAATACGAATTTACAAATGAGAGGAAAAAGTTAGAGGTTAAACAAAATAACTAATTTTCTGCTATCTCTATTTGAAATTCATTCAATTTAGCTTCGATTATTTCTTTTAAAACAGACCCGATCCGAAAAGACAACAAACAATAAAATCTAATTTCGAGAAAATAGACTTTGACCAGTAAATCCTCAAATTTCAAACAATGAGAATAAAATAAAATTTTGCGGCTAGTGGCCAGTCAATAGGAAATGTTTATGAGGCAGATGCAATATCACACCTGTATAGCGCACCGATAACAGTTATTTATGATATTGCAGATACAGCAAGCTCAGCAGGGTTTAAATCCGAATCAGTTTTGGTAAAATGCGTGCTAAACGCATTTTGAACAGATAACTCGCAAAAATGTTCAAATATATAAATCATAAAACGATTAATGGAATTCAAACACAATTTATGAGAAAAATCGCACACAATCACATTTTATCATTCATTTTCCTTTAACATGATCATTATTAGGAACAAGAACCACGAACCGGTTAAATTCCCGTCAAAAACACAAGCCACTTTTTACATAATTTTTTCTGCACCAAATTCCATTCAATGCCACACACATTCATTTCACAAATCAAAAAATTCAAAATTGGTGGATGCTCAAAAGTATTATCAAGAATTTTTAATATTAATATTAACATTTTTAATTACATAATTGTGCAATGTATTAATTAGGAGACACTCCCAATGTCACTAAAACTGTAGTCGTATTGAAAATGAATAAAAGAATTATTTGACAGATAGTTGATAAGAGAAATAAGTAACTTACTTAATCGTTTATTTTTGTTAAGATAGAAAGAGTATAAATTTCCCAATAAACTTTTAAAAGATGTAGACTTATCTCTATAATAAAAAACAAAAGTCAAAATTATATTAAATATATGAGAAGTAAAAGGTTACTTCTGGCAGTTGTAAACATGGCAATAATTAAAGGCATTGTGTGGTACTTAAGTGAATTACCTTTGCTGCTTCAAGCGTAAATACAATCTATTTTAATGTGCCGTCTACTCATTGAAATATTCTTTCCATTTTTATATCATTAAGATATAAAAATTTTCAACGAAAACATAAAATTCCAACTTACCGGATATTTTTTCTAAAAAATTGTTATATTAAAAGTTTAATATTCAATTTTGTTTCTGATGTATCGGAGTGCTTTCGTAATATGTTTGTTCAAGAAATAAATATTTATAAAGTTCCCTTAGGCTCCTTGTAAATTGAAGAAATTCGCTTTGAGGAAATTGGACTGATATTATGTGAGTTTATTTTATATAAGAAAAACACAAGCTATTAAAATAATGTTGTTGCTGATATTTTATTAGCAAAACTACTTTGCCCTAGTTTATCCAGACACCAAAATTGCTTGAATTTTAAATTTTTTAATAAATTTTTGTGCATAAGCGCCAAGTATACACATTAAATATTAACAAAATACCAAATTCAAAATTAATTGGGTAAAAGTTTTGTGGAAAATTAACTTACAGTCTTATAATAATCACTAAAAAGTGTAAGAATGTACTACCACAAGGGTCTGTTCAGAACAATTTGATTTGTAAGTTGAAAATCAATAAGTTTTTATAATCATTAAATTAGCCAAATTTAAATAAATTTTTGAAAAAAAATATTATACATAACAAAAATGATTTGATGCGTTTTAATTTTCAGAACGTGCCATTTAAAAAAGAAAAAAGAAAAACCCGTTTCATATACAATGTGTGTCACTCAGAAACAAAAAAGATACATTTACAATTCGCATCATGTTATTGGAATAAGAAACCATTCTAACCCGTTTTTATTTTTTAAAATAGTTAGAATACTTTCACAAACACCTAAAAACACAAATAGTTCAAATAAAAATTTAATGTGTGTTGTTGATGTTTAGTTGTAGTTTAATTTGCTAGCTATAGAGGTTATATATACTGTTATTGATTCTTTCGGGTGCAATCTGGGTTATACAGCTAATATTATTTTGTAATAAATAATTGTATTTTTTGCAGGTTTTAATCTAGACACAGATAGTCCAGGTGCTATATAAAGTAGTGGGAAAAAAATTAATTATGAGGTACATTTTGTGATTTATTTGGAATTGATAAACAAAATTATTTTGCATCTATATCGGTTTTTATGTTCTAAAAATGTGTCTTTTTTCTTTCAAAATGATACGTCCCGATAATTTAGATGTGTCAA